GCGACAAGTATGCTTCGCGCACGCACCTTCACTCCACGGTGGAGGAGATGCGGAAGATGAACGCCCGCCGGAAGCTGAAGGGCGCCGTGCTGGCCGCCGTGTCTTCGCCGCGGTGGACCAGCTTCTATAGCGACCCGACCCTCGACCCCTACCCTGAGCTCCCCGCCGACGACGACGTGTGCAGCACAGGTCAGCCTCTTAGCCAAGCTGGCGGTGGTAAAGTTGGGTCATCCCGTTGATCGATGGCGCCACGTGTAACTGATTTATGCCCTGGCCTCGTGTGATGAAGGAGAGGGCTAAGTTTCAATGGCCTTCTTATTTGATGAAGGAGTCATCTTCCCTTCCGACATAATGCCCCTTCATCGCATGCTCTATAACTTGGAAACAATTTCCTTAAATGATACATATAGTTGCTGCAAATTTGGTCACTTGGATATTCCTCGAATGATAAAGATAATCACAGTAAGATTAGCCACTTGGGTTTTCCTCGAATAATACAAATAGTCACAGTAAAATTAGTTTTTTGTGTGAAATTAGAGGTTATGGTTGTTTGCAAAGTAGCATTACAACTTTATGTATATCGAGTGTCTTAGAGTGTTGTGGTGGCCTTCCCCCAGGAGCAGTAAGCGTCGTGCTGGACTCCCTGGACGATATACAGTGTCTCCAGGAATGTCCAGTGAAGGACCGAGATTTCCTGCTCTCCGTCCTCGAAGACACGCAGCTCCACGCTCTCCTTGACGTGAGTATTCGGTTGATCTAAACTTTGTTACACTTGAAATTGCGATGGACTGGCCCTCGGACTTTCTCGGAAGATCTCTTCGAATTCGAGATATCATTTTGAGAAACTGCGAACAGCATTATTGATAACTGAATTGTCGACAGTTTTATCGCTATAAAAGCGTCTCATGATCTGACCAGATTTAAGAACATTAGCAAAAGAGTATGCTATTTGTCTTGTACTTTTTTCGAGGATATTTTTTCAGTCCTACTCTCAGTAAAGATATTGAACATGTGATTAAGGTAAGATGCGATTTAAGCCAAGGCTGCTGGTAAAAGTCATGAAACAGGGAAAGGGAAAACATATGTAGAAGAAGAGCTATGTGATTTAATCGAATTAATTGCGAAAAGAGAGAAATTGATAAACTATAGGAAAACATAAAACGAAATGAATTTAAAAGAATCCAAGGAAGCTGTTTTGAGGGTATAGAAAGGAAAACGAGACCTGCTGCAGTGACGAAGCCAATGAGACACGCTTCCCACGTCACAGGGAAGACGAGTTGTGGCAATTGCATAGGACAAAAAGTATACTTTGTTAATTATTTCGGGCGCGGTGATTATTGACCTTTTAACACGGAAGGTTGCAGTGACTGTTAAGCTGGAAGGCTAAAAACGTGCAAGGGGTAAACGCAGGCATTGTTTGTTTGGGCAGTGGTTTACGCTTTTATGATTAATGCTTTCGTAAAAATCATAAAAAAAAAAAAAAAAATCATGCATATGTAATATAATAAGAAACAATCAGGCATACGTAGCCGAAGCAAGCACACGTAGCTTATATTTAGAGTCAGCCGATGTGAGCTTGGCAAGATGAGAAAGTACTTGTCGACTTTTCTTTCGGAGGGAACCATATCGGCCGATCTCCCCGCCTCCTCCCTTCCCTCGAAACGTCGCGAGTCGGATCACGCGCGGCCTATAAACACCGCATATTTTTTATCGTTTATTGCTGCTCGGATCGTGATAGGGAAGAGCCATTTGGTGTGTGTGTGCGCGCCTCTCCCATCCTCCGTCGCACCTTCCATTTTAAGACCTTCTCCTTCCCCTCTTCCTCTCCCCCCCCTCCCCCACCTAATCGTCCTACATCTTGTAGCTTCTTACACCCACATTCCTCTCCATTCATCTCCTTTCCTCCCCTCTATTCCTCTTTTCTTTCTGTCTTTCATGTTTTTTTATCTCTCTACTTTTATCCTATCTGCCCTCTCCCTCTCTCTTCTTTTTTTCTCATTCTTACCCCCTGTTATCCCCCTTTACTCACTTTTTTTCTCTCCTTTTCCTTTCGCTCATCATCTGACCTTTGACCTCTTTTCTTTATTCTTTCTTTTTGCCCCCTTGCCTTTACTTATCCCTCTGATTTCTCATCCTCTTCTCTCTTTACTCCTCCCTTCCATCCCCACTCTCCTCCTTTCATTCTCTTCCTCCTCTCCTCTCCTCCTTCCATTCATTCCCTCCTCTCCTCCCTCTCCCTTCGTTTCCCCCTCTCTCCTCTTCTTTCATTTTCTCCCCCTCTCTCCTCCCTCCTCCTTCTCTCCCTCCTCTCCTCTCCTCCTTTCTCTCTCCTCTCCGCCCTCCTTTCATTGTCTCCCCTCTCCTCTTCTCCTTTCATTCTGTCTCTCCTCTCTTCCCTCTCCCTTCATTCTGTCTCCCCTCTCCTCTTCTCCTTCCATTCTCTCTCTCCCTCCCCCTCCCGATTCTTTGTGTCACCCCCCCCCCCACTCCTTCTCGTGTCCCTCCCCCCAAATCCGTCCGCCATCCATACATTCCCCTCGCCGTACCAATAAGACTTGCGGTCTAAGGAGACGGCAGCGGCCTTATTGTTTCCTGGCGTGGCTTTCCGACCGCGATTTGTTCTTTTCTTTTCGGATGGAGTGTGGTATTAGCCCCCCCCCCCCTCCCCCCCTTTTTTTCCTTTTTGTTGTTATCCCGAGTTTGCATTGTGGAGGGGAAAAAAGTTTTTTTGTGTGTGTGTTTATTATTATTATTATCATAATCATGTGTGTTTTGTGTCTTCGATGTTTTTTTTTATGTTTGAAGTGCCGGTGGAAGATTAAGGAGATAATGACGAATGAAAAAAAAATATAGAGAGGGGGATAAATATATAACGTAAGGATCTTCGAGAATGAACATGTTTGTACGTGTTTTTGTATGCATGACTCGGGCAGGTAAGGGTCGCAAGAAGCAAGATATTGCAGGAGGAAGTGTCTGGGCCGGCTTGTTGACAGCTTTATTGTGCATCCGGCCTTCTCTTTCCTCCCGTCTCTCCTTCCCTTTCCTTGACTCCAGACGGGAAGATGTTTGCCGAGTCTTGTCATTACCGCGAAGGAAGATGAGATGCGCAGGATGCCTTCTTGGATTTTTTGCTTGGAATTACTTTCATTTTACTTTTTTATGTGTTTTTTTTTTTAGGACGTGTTAGAGAATATGATTTGTTGGTGATAAGAGTGGTATGTGATATTTTTTATTTTATCTGTGCGTTTGTTATTAGCTCTCATTACGTCCTGATTTGTAATTCTGATTTTGATAAGTCGCTATTTTTATTGTTAAATTCGTTACATAATTTATTAATTTGATTTCATATGCGTGATTTTATGTTTTCCAATATCTGAATGCCTTAGAGAAGTAATGCATTTAATTACATATTACATGTAACATTGCTTCAGGGGGAAAAAATATGAAGAGCCACTTAAGTATAATAAAACCTTGATTAGAAAGGAATAAACGGATAATTGTAACATTATCACACCGTGCAAATAGGAAAAAAACAGGTGATTGTAATGGCTCGATAGACCGGAAAACCTTTTTTTTCAGCGCGAAGTTTGCCTAGCGAGGGAATTAATCCACCGCGGAAATAAATCGAGAAAATTTCCAAACTTGTCTCGCATTTTCCTTCCGGCGCAACGACCGCTGGAGCAACGAATCACAAACACGGAACCGCAATTAAGGGTAATCCGGGTCTTAAGATTCTCGAAAGCCGCGTCGAAAGCGCTTCACGTTTCTTCGGGGTTGGTGAGGTGGGAGGGAGGGAGGGATGGGGGGAGTGGGAGCGAAAATGGGAAATAGAGGGAGACAGATAGAGACAGGCAGACAGACATACAGACATGCAGACAGACAGACAGACAGACAGAGACAGACAAACAGCAGACAGACAACAGACAGACAGACAGACAGCAGACAGAGACAACCAGACAGAAAGACAATCAGAGACAGACAGACAACAGACAGACAGAGAGACAGAGAAGACAACGAGAGAGAGAGCAGAGAGAGAGAGAGAGAGAGTGTATGAGCGAAAGTAGCGAAAAGAGAGAAAGAGAGAGGGAGTATATGAGCGAAGTAGGAAAATATGAGTGTGTTGTGTGTGTGTGTGTGAGAGAGAGAGAGAGAGAGAGAGAGAGAGAGAGAGAGAGAGAGATAGAGACAGGTCAGAGTGGTTAGGAGATTGGGAAGAATGGGAGTGGAAGAGGATGAAAAAGAAAGAAACGAAGAAGAGAAGAAGGAAGTAAAGAGTAGAGAAGAGAGATAAGAAAAAGGCGAGGAGCAATGAGAAATAAAAAGGGGATAGGAGAAGAGAACGAAAAGACGGAGAGGAGAAGAGAGGAAGAAAAGAGGGGGACAAGGACATAGGAAGAAAGAGGCCTAGATACAGTAGCGACCATCGAGATACACGCCCCTCAGCCGGCCACAGAAGGGCGTCCATGAAGGTGATGACCTGATCCTTATGAAGACTTTATGATCACTGTCGTAAATCTCCTTCTACCCCCCTCCCTTTTTGGTGGTGTGGTGGTGTGTGTGTGTGTGTGTGTGTGTGTGTGTGTGTGTGTGTGTGTGTGTGTGTGTGTGTGTGTGTGTGTTTTCCCCACTCTGCCACGCCAAAGTAGGGAATGGACGGCTTTCGTTTCTACGTGATAAAGACGCATATCTCCCGTTCTGAAGAACGGGATTTATGGGAAAGTAAGTTAGGGAGAAGTAGCACGCCTCTCGGAGTCAGCGTATAATGATGTACTTTATTCGCAGCTTCTGTTTTCTGAAGGGAAACTTATCTTTAAAAAAAAGGCTTGGAAAGAAAAATGGATAATATCGTTTTCTGCGAAGTCGGTTGATCATCAGAAAGTTAAGGACGAGCCCTCAGGGGCCCAGTTCCTCCCCCCTCCTCTCCTCCGTTCTCTTCCCTCGCCTGCGGCTATTACTGCTGCTGCTGCTCTTCCTCCTCCTCCTCCTGTTTTTCCTCCTTCCCCTCCTCCCCCGCCCCCCACTTCATCTTTCTCTTCCTCCTCCTCCTCTTTCTTTTCCTTCCCCTCTTCTTCTCTTCCTCCTCCACTCCCCTCCCTTTATCCCACTCCTCCTTTCTCTCTCCTTTCTCCTCTCGCTCCCTTTCCTCCTCTCTTCCCCCTCCTCCCTTCCCTATCCTCCTCCCTCCTTCCCTCTCTCCCTCTCTGCGTTGACCTGTCGAACATAGCAACGAGTCCCGTGGATCTTTTTATATCGTAGATGATTTAATATGGAAATTATAAAAGTTTAAAAGGCAATTCGCAAGAAAACCGTTATAATTTTGAAAAATTCTTGAATTGGTTACATGCAAGGAAAAAAAGTGAAATTAAGTTTCAAAACTATTGCGTCCTTTACATAGCTCCATGGATGCAAATTGGATATTTGCTTCGCTTTCTGATCCGGACCTCTAAGGTTGCTCTGCTGGTGCTTCGCCTCGCGTGTGAGGGGGAAGTGTGAGGTTTAATCGGATCTCTTCTCTTCGCCTCTCTCTCATGTTCTCTGTCTTTCTCCCTCTCTCTCTTTCTGTCTCTGGCTTTGTCTTTTTCTCACTCTCTCTTTACCTTTCTCTTGCTCTCTCTTAGTCGTGCTCTCGCTCTCTCTCTCTTCTCTCCCCCTATCTTTCTCTCTTTCTCAACTCCCCCCTTTTAAGCCTTCCTTCTAAACTTCTCTGCGCTTCTCTCCCCTCCCCATCACTCTCTCACTCAGCCATCCCCTCACCCCGCCGCCTCTGTACAACTTCATCCGATGGCAA